AATGATTTTAGGTCGGACATTTTCTTCGTTACATTCAGGTTCTAAAGAATAGACGGCAATGTTCAGTTGAAACAGCTTCTCTMGCTCTGGTAGATCCTCTAAATTGATTCCTTGGAACCCTTCATTTTGTGGAAAACTTAGTAAATACCTGTAATAAAAGATTAATGTAGAAAAGGGAATTAATGATAATCAATACAAAAGTAGCAATGTATAAGTGAATACCTATGGATGCTTATTAAATTTTTAAGGAATCTTTTAATTAATTGACATAAAATAATTCACCGTTCAAATAGGGTTTTAGTATCTCTTTCTAAACTTCTGACACGGCTACCAKTATGCAGGGCAAGGCATCGAAAGAAGCAGAGATTATCGTCAAATGGTTTCCCAGTCTTTTTGTCACAGTCTAATGCATAAAGTCCTCTGTTGTTCATAATGTACTCTGCCAGGAAACCAGATCTACCAATGGGATGATCACGGATCTTGGATACAAAGAAGGTCACGTTGGTTATCACATCAACCACCCATTTGCTGTTAGGGCGCTGTTGCTTGACCCATTCTGCAATATCGAGTTCATGGATGGTATCTGCTACTCTGTCAATGTCTCTCACGTTACCGATAAGGAAGGGCTTGTCAAACACGCGATGGTTGTTATGGGATGCATGGTAGTACTGGAGGTCGCCTGTCTCAGTGTTACGCAGAGCAAACCCAAAGGACATATTCAACCAGAATACAGTAGTTTGATCAGCTAATATCTGTTGGAGGAACTGATGAAACACTTGGCGGTCGTAAGATTCAAGCCTAAAGTTGTACCAATCCTGTAACCTATTTCTGCGGCTCTGTCTGGTACGAATTTCACTCCAGTGTTGACTTATCATATTGCGCATTTGCTGGTCACCGTTAGGGATAATAACATTGGGTGGCATGACTATAGAGTCAGACTGCCAACTTGTGCTGGCTCCTTTGTTGCTGGCTCCCAAACAGCAAAAATTAAAGATTTTTTGAATGCATTAAATGGCAAATATAAACGAAAGTTGAGATAAAATTAATTAAAGGATTAAATAAATGAATAAAAATAAAGAAATAAATGAAACAATAAATAAAATAAATAAATGAAATAATAAATAAAATAAATAAATGAAATAATAAATAAAATAAATAGTAAATAAAATAATAAATAAAATAAATAATAAATAAAAAAATAAAATAAATAAACAACAACAATAATAATAATAATAATAATAATAATAATAATAATAATAATAATAATAATAATAATAATAATAATAAATGAATGTGAATAAAAGAAAGAATATATGGATGACTGTTGAGAGGTGATTGTTCAAAGTGCCACTTGGACGTAATTTGATAGAAATTTGAAAAACAACAAAAAAGTTACTTGTTTGAGCTGAAACTTCTCATGGATATCAATAAAGTCTTCATCAATAATATTCCAAAGTTTCGTCTTTTGTCTCAAACCAGAAAGGATTGAAATTTAGCGTTCATTTTTCGGTCGCCATTGATTGCTTTGCAAATCTTTGGAAGACTGGGTCGAGCTCTTGCCGAACCTGAAAACGAGGCATGACGTCATACATATAACAAATTCACATGGCTAATTATTCAGGTGAAGTTTTGACGGCTTTGACGGCTTTGACAGCTTTAATTTGACAGCTTTGTTTTGATTTTTTGTCGATGACTTATTGAAAATTATGACAACGCGATGCATTGTAGCTGGCTGCAGYTCTAAAGCAGACAAACATGAAGGAATTTCAATTCACATTTCGCCTATAGAAAGAAAAATATACAACAAATGGTGCGGGTTTATCCGTACGCATCGAAAGTCATGGGATCCACGGAAAGGGTTATTWGGTGTTTGCTCTAAGCATTTTAGAAGAGAGTGTTTTTATCGGCCTTACCATGTTCCCGGGCAGATAAGGAAACTTAAATTCGGCGCTGTTCCGACAATTTGGATGCCAAACGAAGAACGAAATGAACTCCCTTTGACGGAAAGAGGTCGGCGACAGGTGAGTGAAATGTAAACAAATAGCGTCAAACAAGACTACAACWTTTTTAGTAACATTTCTTTTTCAATAGTAGATATATGTTGATATAAAATTGTCGTCACTTTTCTTTTAATATATTAAAACCGATATGTAGAGAAAAGAGCATTGAAATGAAGCGCTCGTCTCACGAACTTATTAGCGTCTTAATAGAAAATCAAATTCCGTGCAAAATCTTTTTCAGCTTCATGTAGTTTAAAATTTTGTWAAGTATCAATAGCGATGGATATTGTGTATAGTTTGCACTTTTTTGTTTCACTAACAGGTCATTTTYTWTAGAGTATTGAATATTATYTAATGAAATTATTAAATTGGGGTTTTCCCTGCAGGCTCTGAAGGAAATTGACATGAAGAACGTCACAAATAGCAGTAACAAATTGTGCACAAATGTAAGGAAAATTTCTACAAAATATTAGCTGAACCAGCATTGATTTCTAGATTTATTTATTTAGATGGCCACATTTCAACATCAAKCTTTAATAAATGAAGTCGAGGTCWTCACTGAAAACAGCTCAATGCATGTAAGGCTATAAAAATAAAACAGCTAGTGTGATTAATTTTAAATTGCATTACATATGCAGTGCTTAAAAATATCTAGATGATCTTTGCTAAAATATTTTTGCAGGACATTTTGAGACATTCAATCTATGATTTTTGCTTTAGATTGATCAAGAGGTTACTCCAAACATTCACTTGGAAAATGCAGTGCAATTTGAGGCTTACAATATTCCWGTAAGAATATAAGTTGTGTATCAAAAACAAGTTTGCATTATTCTATAATATAAAATTATATTTTATAATGTAAAGAATTGTGACAAGTCTATTTTTATTAATACATTTCCACTTAGAATGATCACAACTATGCATTTTGCCAATATGATTCTTTTGAACATGAAGTCTTGAAGGATACATCTGTGCAGGTATAATAAAATGATACTGAGCATTTGGTGCTTAAATGTAGTTTTATATAATTATTTTCTTTTTTTGCTTTTAAGGCTGATTCAAGGGAAATGTTCTGTGCTCAGGATGTGAGTTATTATCTACTATCCTCACCTATAATACTTATTMATCATATTCCTATTTGGACACAGTTTAGTTCTACTATAGTCTAAAATGCTTTTGCATTCTTAATCTCAAAKCTCAGAATTTAATTTACTTATATCTTGAAACCAACTTCACAGAAACAAACTCAAGTCAACTTTAACTGCRGCTATTGCCAAGAATTGACAGCGACTGTTAGGGCCTTGCAAAGACAACTGGCAACTACAAAAAAGACCAATAGTAGCCTTACAGACATACTTGGAGAGGCATGTAAGAAACCAAGCACAACAACAGCAGGTAAGTTGATATTTACAAATGCCTTTTCATATCATTATAAATGTGATCATCAATTTGGTTGATTTTTTTAGGATCACAGACAGATATACCTGAAAACCTTGAAGAATTTCCAACATTGGACCCACACATTCAAGAAGAGGTCGACAAGGTCATGGAGCATGATGAAGACATGCCAATCGATGAAGAACCAGTTGAAGAAAATTATAATGAAACTGATGATGATGGGAATAATAGCACAACAACAAATATTAATGAGAGGTGAGCTACTTATCATAACTAACCCATAATGAACATGTATTTTATTTTATGATAAATAATAATAGTTATTGCTTTTTTAATTTAAATTAAATAAATGCCAGTGTTTTCGCACAAGTCTTGGGTCCATTAGCACAATTTAAAAGTTTGATAAAATCGAGCGGCTGTTTAAAGTAGTAAAGAATAATCCAGTATGCCTTGGGTACTTTACTTTTTGCTGATTACTTCTTGTGTGAAAAGACTAATCGGATTGAATAATGATGTGTTATATGTGCATGGAAAAAACATTGTTTTCTTATTTTCAGATTGAACACTGAGGGAAAGGATTGCAGAGAAGAACCTAAAGCAATTGTTTTTCTTTCAAAACTTCTGCTACTCTTCCAATTTTGTTTCTTTTGCCATCATCCTAACCCTAAAGTAGACAAACGACAAACTGGAACAATGATTACTATTGTAACCAAATGTTCACACTGTATGCAGACCTTTACATGGTTGAGCCAGCCACTTTTGTTAGGACGGTTTCCAGCAGGAAATGTATTACTAAGTTTTGCCATACTTACAGCTGGAGCATCTGTCAAGAAAGTTCTCCTTGTGTTGCAACATATTAACATCCTTGTTTATAACAATT